GAATCTAAAATTGGAACTGATTCCTATGAGCAGGTGGAAGAAATTAGCTAGCACAAAAGCCCGTGTTCTCGTTTTATGTATTAATTAAAGTGAAAAGAAGTCAAAGTTAAAAGTTTATTTAAGGTGTTGAGCAAATTGTCAAAATGCATTTAACAGACCTACTTTGCTGTACGGAAAAACAAATGTTGGTGAATTGAATACAATCGAATATCTTGAGGGTGCAGATTAGTTTAAAATTTTTGAGCGGAATATTTTTTAAAAAACATCGCGTATTTATAATCCCTGAAAGTGATCCAGACTTTTTGATCATTTGTGAAGTGTTTGCTCTCAGTTTTGTAGATTTTGAGTCAATAGCAATTATCACCAAAATTAGGGGAAATATGCGCAAGACATTTTCAGGTCAACCAGAGCGAACTTTTTTAAAATTTTGTAAATTGAAATTCAGTGGTAGAGTAATGCGAGCATTTAAGCATTCTTTTGTGACAGAATGTAGGCAACTATAAATTAAATTGACTTTAATAATCATTTTATTTAATTACCGTAGTAAAAAGGACTCAGGATCAGGAACTAGTTAAATTAATACCATCATTACTGAAACCGTCTCCTCCAACTGCATGTTCATGATCGTAAGAAATGAAGTAGCCAGTGCCACTGGCTACTTATTTATTTGCACATTCTCGCTAGAGCTATCACTGAAAATAAATTATCGCGAATATTTTTAAAGTACAGGCTACATTTCACAATCTACGTAAAATATTTCATTCTTTTCCGGCATGTTCTTACAATCACGTGCTGTCCCAAATGGATAAAATAGTAAAATATATCCACGTGGGATGAAATCAATGTCAAATGTGTCAAGTATTAGAATCTAGTATTTAGTACTCATCTCATCTCAACATTTAGTTTTGTATTTATTTTTTAAAGCCAAATTTTGGATGTTACTGTCTCGATAACATTTCTGAATGATTGCATTCCATCACTAATTGACCAAATGGAGAGACGAGTCATTGGCAACATAAATTTTTGAATCCAGAACCTATGAGCGTGCTTCAAATATTGAAACTCTGTGAAGAAGTTTGTTTTATATTTTTGATAACTGTAGTATCTTATGATGTACAGTTAACTTGTACTCACCACAAACGAATGATGAATATTTTTAGTTTATTTCATCGAATTTCATTATTTTAAGTTATTTCATCGCTCTGAGTACGCCTAAACTGCAGAAGTTGTTTCCCGCAATG